CCATTTTCCTCCCATTTCCCCCCATTTTTCCCCATTTCCCCCATTTTCCCCATCTCCCCCCATTTTTCCCCATTTCCCCGTGCCCGGTGCCTCACGCTCTCCGGCAGCAGCCGCTGTACGGCGCCGACGGCAGCAGCGCGCTCCGGGCCAGGCGGCGCGTCCGGGCCAGCAGCGGCGCCTGGGGACAGCCACGCCCGCCTCAGGCCACGCCCGCCTCAGGCCACGCCCACACGGGCCACACCCACACTGACCACGCCCACACTGACCACTCCCACACTGACCACACCCGCACTGACCACACCCACACTGACCACGCCCACACTGACCACTCCCACACTGACCACACCCGCACTGACCACACCCACACTGACCACACCCATACTGACCACACCCATACTGACCACACCCACACTGACCACTCCCACACAGGCCACACCCACACTGACCACACCCGCACTGACCACACCCACACAGGCCACACCCACAGAGACCCCACCCATAGAGACCACACCCATAGAGACCCCACCCACAGGCACCACACCCACAGGGACCACACCCACAGAGACCCCACCCACAGGGACCACACCCACAGAGACCACGCCCACGGGGACCACACCCACAGAGACCACACCCACAGTAACCACACCCACAGAGACCCCACCCACATAGACCCCGCCCACAGGGACCACACCCACATAGACCACGCCCACAGGGACCCCACCCACAGAGACCACACCCACAGTAACCACACCCACAGAGACCACGCCCACAGTAACCACACCCACAGAGACCCCACCCACAGTAACCACACCCACAGAGACCACACCCACATAGACCACGCCCACATGAAACCACACCCACATAGACCCCACCCACAGATGCCACGCCCACAGATGCCATTTTGGCCACGCCCACTGTGGCCACGCGCACCTGCTCGGCGGGGGCCACGCCCGGCGCCTCCTGAGGGGTCACCTGGGGGCAGCGCGGCCGCCCGAAGGAACGGCGCAGGTCTGGAACGGGACGGGGACGGCGTCAGGGACGGGGACAGGGGACACAGGTGACACAGGTGACAGGGGACACAGGTGACAGGGGACACACAGGTGACAGGGGACACAGGTGACACAGGGACACAGGTGACAGGTGACACAGGGACACAGGGACACAGGTGACAGGGGACACACAGGTGACACAGGTGACACAGGTGACACAGGGACACAGGTGACACAGGTACACACAGGTGACACAGGTACACAGGTGACACAGGTACACACAGGTGACAGGTGACACACAGGTGACACAGGGACACAGGTGACACAGGGCACACAGGTGACACAGGGACACACACATGACAGGCGACACAGGTGACACAGGGACACAGGTGACAGGGGACACAGGTGACACAGGGACACAGGTGACAGGTGACACACAGGTGACACGGGACACAGGGACACACAGGTGACATGGGACACAGGGGACACAGGGGACACAGGTGACACAGGGACACAGGTGACACAGGGACACAGGTGACAGGGGACACAGGGGACACAGGTGACACAGGGACACAGGTGACACAGGGACACAGGTGACAGGGGACACACAGGTGACACAGGGACACAGGTGACAGGGGACACACAGGTGACAGGGGACACAGGTGACACAGGGACACAGGTGACAGGGGACACACAGGTGACAGGGGACACACAGGTGACACAGGGACACAGGTGACACAGGGCACACAGGTGACACATGGCACACAGGTGACAGGGGACACAGGTACACACAGGTGACAGGGGACACAGGTGACACAGGGACACAGGTGACACCGCACTCACTGTCCAGGTGCTTGCGGCCCGCCCGGTGCAGCAGCAGCGTCTGCAGAGTGTCACACACGGGGCGCTGGGGACACAGCGAGCACGCCAGCCTGGGGACAGCGGGGACAGAGGGGACATCAGGGACAGCGGGGACACCAGGGACCCTGGGGACAGCGGGGACAGAGGGGACATCAGGGACAGCGGGGACACCAGGGGACAGCAGAGACATCAGGGACCCTGGGGACAGCGGGGACAGAGGGGACACCAGGGACCCTGGGGACAGCGGGGACAGAAGGGACATCAGGGACAGAGGGGACACCAGGGACCCTGGGGACAGCAGGGACCCTGGGGACACAGCGAGCACGCCAGCCTGGGGACAGCGGGGACAGAGAGGACAGTGGGGACACCAGGGGACAGCGGGGACATCAGGGGACACTGAGGGACCCTGGGGACAGCGGCGGACACTGAGGGACCCTGGGGACATCAGGGGACACTGAGGGACCCTGGGGACAGCAGGGACACTGAGGGACCCTGGGGACACTGAGGGACCCTGGGGACAGCAGGGACACTGGGGACAGCGGGGACAGCAGGGACCCTGGGGACACTGAGGGACCCTGGGGACATCAGGGGACACTGAGGGACCCTGGGGACATCAGGGGACCCTGGGGACACTCACCGGCCGTCGCGCAGCAGCAGCGCCTCGTCCTCGGGGATGGCACTGGCCAGCAGCTCGGCCACGCGGCGCCTCTGGGGACAGCGCGGCCACCAGGTCACCCCTGTCCCCAAACTGTCCCCAAACTGTCCCCAAACCGGCCCCGAACCATCCCCAGACTGTGCCCAGACCGTCCCCGCACGGCAAAGCCACCCGGGGACAGCCCTGGGAAGGGCTGAGGGGACAAAGTGGGGCCGGGGGACCTGGAGGGGACAGAGGGGACACAGAGGGACCGAGGAGGGGCTGGGGACACTGAGGGGACACAGAGGGACCCAGGGAGGGGCTGGGGACACTGAGGGGACACTGAGGGGACACTGAGGGACTGAGGAGGGGTTGGGGGGGACACTGAGGGACCGAGGAGGGGCTGAGGACACTGAGGGGACACTGAGGGGACACTGAGGGACCCAGGGAGGGTCTGGGAACACTGAGGGGACACTGAGGGGAAACTGAGGGACCGAGGAGGGGCTGGGGACACTGAGGGGACACAGAGGGGACACAGAGGGGTCCGGGAAGGCCTCGGGGGACCCGCGGGGTTCCTGCCGAGGCCCGGGGATGGCGGGGCTGGGCTTGGCCGTGCCGGGGGTCCCGGGGGTGCCCGGGGAGGGGTCCCGGGGGTGCCGGCCCCACCTGCAGCGCCCGCAGCGGCCCCGGGTCGCTCTCGTCGCGCTTGAAGGACATGGCGGGCCCCGCTAGGCCGCGGTCGCCATGGCAACGCCGCCGCCGCCGCTTCCGGGTTCCGCTTCCCGGCCGGCAGCCGGGGTGGGGAACCACCAATCAGCGAGCGCTCGGCGCGGGCCCCGCGGCGCCATGGGAGTTGTAGTTCGAGCGCGGGAAGCTCTCGTGGAAATGGCGGCGGAGATGGCCAGGGCGGAACTACAACTCCCAGAAGGAGCCGCGAGGCCGCGCCGGTTCGGCGGGGCCCGGGCCGAGCGCTCCCCGTGAGCGGCGGGGCCGGGCCGGGACCCCCGGGCCGGGACCCCCGGGCGGGCCATGGCGGGGAGCGGCGGAGCCGGGGCGGCCCCGCGGGAGCACCGCCTGCAGCCCGGGGACACCCTGCCGGGGCTGGCGCTGCGCTACGGGGTGACGGTGAGCGGCGCCGGGGACACCGGGGGGACACCGGGGGGACACCGGGGGGACGCCGGGGGGACACCGGGGGCAGGGGAGGTCCCCAGGGGTCTTGTCGGGCTCGTGCTGGCCCGGTTCGCGTCGGCTGCCCGCTTCATGTCCTTATCCCTGTGCCCATCCCTGTCCCTATACTGGTCCCATTCCATCCCGGTCCCGTTCTTGTCCGGGTCTCATCCTGATCCCGGTCCAATTCCATCCCGGTCCCGGTCCCGGTCCCATCCCCGTCCCGGTCCCGGTCTCATCCCGGTCCCGTTCTTGTCCCGGTCTCATCCCGATCCCGGTCCAATTCCATCCCGGTCCCGGTCCCTGTCTCATCCCGGTCCCGGTCCCATCCCGGTCCCGGTCCCATCCCGGTCCCGGTCCCATCCCGTTCCCGGTCTCATCCCGGTCCCGGTCCCATCCCGATCCCGGTCCCATCCCGTTCCCGGTCTCATCCCGATCCCGATCCCGGTCCCATCTCGTTCCCGGTCTCATCCCGTTCCCGGTCTCGTCCCGGTCCCGGTCCTGGTCTCATCCCGGTCCCATCCCGTTCCCGGTCTCATCCCGATCCCGNCCCATCCCGTTCCCGGTCTCATCCCGATCCCGGTCCCATCCCGTTCCCGGTCTCGTCCCGGTCCCGGTCCTGGTCTCATCCCGGTCTCATCCCGATCCCGATCCCGGTCCCATCCCGTTCCCGGTCTCATCCCGGTCCCATCCCGTTCCCGGTCTCATCCCGGTCCCGGTCCCGGTCTCATCCCGGTCTCATCCCGGTCCCGGTCCCATCCCGTTCCCGGTCCCATCCCGATCCCGATCCCGATCCCGGTCCCATCCCGTTCCCGGTCCCATCCCGGTCCCGGTCCCGGTCCCGTTGCCATCCCGGTCCCGCCCCGCAGATGGAGCAGATCCAGCGCGCCAACCGCCTCTACTCCTCGGACTCGATCTTCCTGCGAGCCACGCTGCTCATCCCGGGACACCGGGACACGGCCGGGGACCCTCCCGGTGACACCCCCGGTGACAGCCCCGGTGACAGCCCCGGTGACCGGCCCGGACCCCCCCGCCGCGAGCTGTCGTGCTCGGATTTCCTGCGGCGCTTGGACGCCGAGATCGGCCGCTCCAAGGAGGCGGCGGCGCAGCGGCTGCGGGGCCGCAGCTCCGGGTGCGGACCGGGAAAAACCGGGATAAAACTGGGCGGGAGATCGGGGTGAAACTGGGAGAAATTGGGGAAAAAAATGGGAAAACTTGGGGGAAAAATTGGAGTGAAACTGGGAGAAAATTGGGGAAAATCTGGGGGGAAATTGGGATGAAAATGGGAGACAATTGGGGAAAAATTTGGGGTGAAATTGGGGGAAAAATAGGGGAGAGCTGGGGGGAAATTGGGGTGAAATGGGGGGAAAATTGGGGGGAAAATTCGGGAAGAACTGGGGGAAAACTGGGAGAAAATTGGGGGGAAATTGGGATGAAACAGGGAGACAGCTGGGGAAAAATCGGTGGGAAACTGGGAGGAAATTGGGGAAAAACTCGAGGAAAAAATTTGGGAAAAACTGGGGGGGAGGGGGGAAATTGGGATGAAACTGGGAGAAAAATGGGGAGAAAATTGGAGGAAAATTTGGGAAAAATTGGGTAAAAATGGAAGGAAAATGTGGGGGGGAAAACCTGGGGGAACTGGGGTGAAACGGGAGAAGGCGCGGGCGGAGCGGAGGTGCCCGGCAGGGGCGGGGGGCGGGTGGCGGTGCCACCCCGGTGTCACCGGCTGTCCCCGCAGCCCCGCGCCCGCCGGGGGCGGCCCCGGCCCCGCGTCCCCCCGGGGCGCCCGCCTGGGACCCCGGCCCCTGAGCCGGAGCCCGCGGGCGGCCGCGCTGCGCGACGCCGAGGACGAGATCTTCACCCTGTGACAGCCAGGGGACATTGGGGACACTGGAATGGGACAGCAGGATGAGATCTTCACCCTGTGACAGCAGGGACAGCGAGGGGACACTGGAACGGGACATTTGGGACACTGGAATGGGACACCAGGACGAGATCTTCACCCTGTGACAGCCAGGGGACACTGGAATGGGACACTGGGGACACCAGGACGAGATCTTCACCCTGTGACAGCCAGGGGACACTGGGGACACTGGAATGGGACACCAGGACGAGATCTTCACCCTGTGACAGCCAGGGGACATTGGGGACACCAGGACGAGATCTTCACCCTGTGACAGCCAGGGGACACTGGGGACACTGGAATGGGACA